TGAACAGAGAACCACAGAAAGACAAATCTGAAAGGGGGCTTAGCAATCTCAAAGGCCCATCTCTACATTAAGCAGATAAAAACACTGAGTTCCAGAGATATTAAATGGCTTCCGAAACCATAGAGCTTGCCAGTTTACAGCATCCAGGTCCTCCTGACTTTTAGTACAATTCTATTTCTTACTTCCTAAATGACGCAAATCTGCTAGGCCTGGCCCTGGATTATTTACCCAATCTTATTTCTCACTCTTTCCCAACATGTGTCCACATTTCCTTTCATCTCCTGCCCCTGCTAGCACGCGCTCCCTGCCATATATACATATTTTCAGATTTGTCTTATCCACTGAGCTGGCCTCTTTCACTCAACCTCCTCTAAATGCTTCAACTGACTCGGACAGAACTCTCAATTCTCCGGAAATCCTGCCATACTTCCAGGCCACACCACCTCAACTGCTGCCTTACGTTCCTCCGTAATTGCTTCCTACATGGGAACCAGTGGGACGCTGAACTTAACGAAATGACGCGATTGCTAGGGTTTCGTTACTCCTTTAAAAAGCCTGGGGCACAAAAATATTTTAGAATCAAGCAGTTGACTATTACAGAAGACAGTCCCAAATGAACATCTGTTTTCAGATACGTGCCATTCAACACATGTGAACAAATCACAAAAGAACAAAAAGAAAAAGGATCAAATTGAAGTAAAAATTACTTGACAGTGCCCTTTTAAAACACGTTTCAAAGAACTGACCATCATATTCTAATCCAGCAGTTCTCAAACTTTCTGGTCTCAGGAGCCCTTTATAGTCCTGAAAATCACTGCAGACCCCAAAGAGCTTTTGTTTATCTGGGTTTGATTTATCTATTTTTACTGTATTAGAAATTAAAACTGAGAAAAAAATTAAGTATTTACTTATTAATATTCATTAAGATAATAATAATCCCATTACATGATATCTTAAATAACACATATTTAGGAAAAGTAACTGTATTTTCTAAAACAAAAAAAAATGGAGAGAAGCGTGGCATTGTTTTGCAGTTTTGGAAGTCTCTTTAGCGTCTGGCTTAGAGACAGCTGGGCTCTGCATTCAGTATGCGGCGATACTGCACGTCATGGAGCTTCTGGGTAATTCCACTGGACGCTCGGGAGAGAATGAGAGTGAAAAGGCAAGGAACATCTTAGTATTAATACGAAAAAAGGTTTCTTCACGAACCCCCTGAAAGAGTCTTGGGGACCCCTGGGAGTCC